TGTTGAGGAGCAGATGTGAGGTTATATTTAATATTGAATGCCAAGTTTTGAGAGAAATGGTTCGACAGTTTCAGGTTTTACCTATATTGTCGTACTAGAAATTGCAGTCACTCTAGTTGGAGACATAACATCCCAGCAAATCCTCAACCTTCATCTTAGCAGTAGTATGTCTCTGACATGTCTGCCGCAGTAGCAGGCGAAACGTTTGGTGCTACAAGTTCCATTCCAGCCCAGATTTTGTTCTCTCTAATCGCGAATCGGGCCGTGAAAGCCGTACAGCCATCAGGTTATATTCTTTCATTTCACTTCATTCATAATTATTCATTTGTGGAAAATTCTACTACTAGGGCTGAAAAATCTTGGGTGCAGCAGTGAAATAAGCTTTTTTTTTCAGTGAAAACGTGTTTATTTTCAGTATAGTCTAATCTAGCATAATGCATTTCCAACGATCCTCCAATATTTCGATCCCCTTCGAATAGTGCGTTTTTTTAAAGTCTGTAAAAATGGTCTCCGTCTTGTAATACCTCTCCACTCCTCAACAAGAGACAGATTTTTATATAATAGGATCGGGTTACAAATCAGAGTTGTCGTCAGTTCAGAATCAAAATATAAATTCCTCAGTCCTGAAGCATCAACATTGACAAAATAGATAAACTCTAACTTAAGCTACACTGTCGAAAAAGGTTTCCATTCATTAATGTCTGGGGCCCCTAAAATTGTATTACCACTCACTGTTATTCGGTTCCTCGAAGGAGCTTTCGCAGTGTTTGAAAGTTGAGACAGTAGCCAACACCTGACAGGTAGGAATTCGTCTAACTCTGTTACACGTAGATAAACTGGTACTCACTCATCTGAAAATTAACTTTCAATGATGAGTTAGTGGTTGTTACCCGTGGATAACAAAGCATTCACTTGCCGGAACTTTTTATATTCAAATTGTTTGTCGACCATCAACCACTTTTCAATTCGTCGCTTTGACGACTGCCTTTTAATCTCTTCGCCTTCTTCCCGGCGTAATATTCACGTGGTGAGACAACACTTTCTTAACTAGACAGGGGTGGAATTCTACAGCCTCAGCCATGTTCTCAGCATTCAAGCTGGATCTTTTCTCCCGGAGACATTTTCCCAGGTTCGGAAACAAATAATAATCGCTGGATGCTATATATCTGGCGAATAGGGTAGGTGGTGGACCAATACGTAGTGTAACTCGGCTAATTTGACCTTTGTGAGCCGGTGCGTTATCCTAGTGGAACAGCACTTTTTTCTTTGCCATATGCGGCAGTGTTTCCCCGATTTTGTTGTTCAGGCTGTTGAGTAGCAACGTAATAGTCGCCAGTGAAGGTCTTGCCCTTCTCCATTTAATCAATGAAGATTATTTCGCGAGCATCCAAAAAAATGCTTGTCAAAACCTTTCCGGTCGACTGCTGGGTCTTCGAGCGTTATGAACGGCTGCTACACGCTTCCAGCCACTTTGCAGGCTGCGGATGGGACTCCGGCGTGTAGTAGTGGATCCATGTTTCATTAATTGTCACATATCGACACAAACATTCTGTTTGTTTCGTCGAAATACGGTCAAACCACGATCAGAATCGTCAACGTTGCTGTTCCTGCACCCATCGCGCAGATATCTCTTTTTATATCCTAATTTTCGTGCGAAAGGAAGCCCGCACGCTCTTTCTCTATGCCTACGGTCTCAGCTATCTCGCTCAATTTTACTCGCCGGTCATCCAAAACGGATTCACGGCATCGGATGATATGCTACGTTGAAAGTCGGCGAACCATCGTTTGATGGTTGTTTTCGATGGTGCAGACTTCGAGTATCGTTTATCCAGCCATTGCTCTGCCTCGACGGTGTTCTTTCGCATCAAAAAGCAAAGCTTCACGAAATTAAAGCTGAGCATGGGATTATCTGTATGTGAGGTTCGATGTTTTGAGCGCGATAGATTTTCCTGGTTTCCAAAATCGGATATGTGCTGCGTGTTATTTGAAACGAGTTAGAATGGCAGGCCTAGTCTGACCGATATATTATCTGTCGTAGTCCTCACAGCTTTTTTGATGAATCCCTAACTTTTTATTTTCCAACATCGTGTCTTCAGAGTTGCCCAACATTTGTTTGAAGTGAACAAGAAGTTTTAAAGGCTACTTTCGAGTTCTACTTTTCCAGAACACGACCTAAAACGTTAGTGTATCTTGGTTCATACGGAAGGACAACGAATTTTGACACCATGTCTTTTTCGAAGATTCTCCCTAAATTTACGTTTTCTTACTAACTCATCTACTTTATTTTGAAGAATATCTGTTGCTTTTGGATGCTGTTGAAAGTCTGGATATAGCAAAGTGCGCCACTAGAACTATGAACGGTGACAAAGGTCCAACTTCAAATAGCCCATTGTTTCCCTTTTTATAAATCACTCTGTTTGAATTTATGGGAATTTTCACGAGAAAATTTCTACCCGAAATCATTTATGTGTGTCCAAAAGTGAAAGTGTAACCTGGTTGGTGAAACGTTTGTCAAGTAGAGTGTTGCATTTCTGGTGTTTGGAAAAAGAGCTTGTTTTGGACTCTGATTTTGAACTGCTTCATTCTGAAAAAAATGAGAATTTATTGAAAATAAATTTAAATAACGTCAGGAAAAATATTGAAAAATGGGTAAATGACTCAGTTCAACAATCAGTTTAGAAAAGACAGTTTTCAAGAATTTCAAGCAAAAACTGAATCTTAAAATTAGAAAAAATTATTCGACCAAGTTAAAAAAATAAATATTTAGGCCTAATAATTGAAAAAGATTTAATCATATAAATAAAATTGAAGAATAGATTGTACCATTGATGGGAGCAATCAGAAGAATTTTTTAGATAGTCACATAAAAATTCCAACTCATAATGCTCATATTCTCTCTCCAATTAGATATCTCATTACAATTTGGTCATCCTGCGCTAAAAGCCAAAGAATGATAAGAAAGTAACTATTTCGAAATAAAATCTCTAAATATTCATCTCTCCCAACGTACTTACAAAGTAGGTCCTGGTAAATGCCTGCCGGAAAACAACTACTTCCCCGGCTAATACCACGCTGGATATTTAATTATATCCGACAGACCTTTATGCAAGATACCCTACAGTGGTTAGTCCTGCAGATGTTTCTCGTTCATCCAGCAGCAGAGCCACAATAAAATCAATCGAAAAGATCACCTAAAAACCGGCTTCGAGATATTACCTCCCATCAGTGCAGGAAAGATCCTACTCAAACGGCAAAGTGCCTGAGACTTAATTAATTTGATCACTTTAATTTACCGTTTAATGAATAAAGCTATAAAGGTGTGATATTTGAAAAAATATTGGATACATCTTTGGAACTATACAAAATGACTAATAATATGTTTTTGAATCATTCAATACTCTTTGAAAAAGCTAATTTCATATATAAATTGAATCTGAAAAGTAATATTCAATTATTGAACAATTCTAGGTTGCATGATCATAATACAAAAAATTTCAATAATTTTCATCTAGATGTAATACATACCAAAGGAAAGAATGATCAGATTTCAAATTGTTCAGAAGCTTTTGAAAAATTGACTGAACATTTTTTTAAAAATCTAACAGTTCATATATTTTACAAAAACATCAAATTATAATTATTTGAATGAATAGAACTGGCCTATAATGAAAATTTGTATTAAAACTAATTAATACAGTTAAGGGTACAACAAAACACGTGTCGCGATTTTTGCAAAACCTTTTATAGTGAAAATTGTACAATAAACTATTAATGAGGATTATTTGAATGTTTATATTTTCTCATTATCAAACGTTGTTGATAATTTTTACTCTAAACAGTTTTATTAACTTTCCCATGTCAGCATAGTTTCTGTCTGGAAGTTTTGCACCAAATCAATAATGAAGATAAATAATATATTCAAAATTATACCATAGAAATTGGAAACTCCACCAACTGTAAGTCCACCTCCACAAGCTTTTACCTAAACTTCATGAAACTTGTTCTCTTGACCAGTGCTGATTAATTGAGGGATGCATTCAGGGCCGGATTTAGGGGAGGTCCTCCACAGGAGGGGGCCCCCACAGTAAAGATAAAAAAGTATCCAAAATCTGACGGGTCAGCAACTTTCGCTATTTTTAAACAACTATTTTTTTTGGTATACCAAAAAAATTAGGGGCCTACGCTCCTTTGTTGCCTCAGGGCCTCCAGACTTCCAAATCCGGCCCTGGATGCATTTGTTCTGAAATGAGCAAATTAATGAATATAATCAACTATTCAGATTTTTCCAACAAATCCCTTGAAAAATTATTATTCTTGAAAAATAAACTACTTAAAATGAATATAGAGACATGTCCTTAAAATGCAATAAGTAAAAAAATATGTATTATTTTGTCAAACATTTGTATTTATAAAATAGTGTATAGGTGCCTTTATTAAATTTTCTGAGTCGATTTTTCAGTTCTTTCTTGAATTTGGATTTATTTTGTTTATTAATGAGTTGTATTTTTTCTGGTACTTTGCTCCACATCTTTGGGCCAAGATAACTACAGTGTCTTTGACCTATTAATTTTTGGCATCTTGGAGCTAAAAATGTATATTTTTTTCATGTGTTCCACTGGTTTTAATTTTATTTTGTTCTCAACGACTTTCAGAATAATCTTCTGGCAGTATAGCTGCCGTGTATCTAGGACATTACTTTCTTCAAATAAGAGGTCACTGCAGAACGTTTTCCCTTTACCCAACAAAATTTTCAGAATTATTTTTTGTAAAGCTAAAAAAGGCCTATGCTGATCATTATATATTTCGAAAATCAAGTTTGAATGTTCAATTTGTTTTTTGCCAGACGAATAAAGGTGCAGTTTGAGTTTGAATAACATTGATACGTTTCAAATTACCATTTTGAAATTATAATTACTAATGAATAATATAAGTAATATACTTGTTGACTATTAAAATAATATTTGAGGAGAGCATATTTTAATTGACTCTTTATGTATTAGACGGGCGACTACTCAGTATCCTTGAAAGCTCCAGGAAGAAACAAACATTTCCGTGTACACGTCGAGGGAGCTCTATATTGCATCGGACAACGAAAATTCCACACGCTCGATCAACTCGTGGATCATTACCAAAGGGCACCGATCTACACCAACAAGCAAGGTGAAAAACTTTATCTGGTACGTCCCCTTCCGAAAACCAAATAACGGATAAATCTACCATTGAAAGAACTGTTTAGGATTAAAAAAGTACTATTTGTGTGAGTGTTTTGTTCTTGAATTTTTTGATGAATCAATATTATTATTATTCATTGGCAAACATGTATATCTGGTCATGTTATATATTTTTTGTTTATTTTGTATATATGTTTTCGTCTAAGTTATTGAATTTTTAGCAGTAATTCCTACAAAAGCACAAAGTTATTTTCGTTCATGCAGGATGGTCCCGTTACTGTTTTTACATTTTGTAAAAATATTTTCATAGAGCCGGAATCGAAAGCGCGGTACACTTTATGTTTTTGTGACTAGTCAAAAGCTTGTATTTATTAGTTCAGTCGAAAGGTAATGTTGGATAAAAGGACCACCCTAACGCAAAACAAATAGATGGAAGTGATTCAATGGATGAAGCTTTATGTAACTCATGAATACTCAATATTATTATTATTATAGGAACTGATGTCACGTAATTATATTTTTTTTTATCCTATTGATAAAGTTTGAAATATCTTCTCGGTTTTCTAACACAGTACACAATAAGTAAAGAAATAGAATTCTCACTTCTTGTTTAACTCAGTTTCTCGTTACAGCCTCAATGATGCGCTCTGAAATCTAATAATTAATGCCAAACAACCAAACTCGTTTGTTTGTAATGCAAATACAAATCTGTTCTACATTATAAGTTGATAGTTTTGACCAGACTTTCAGAACCAAAAAAAATGACCAAGAAAATAACATCTATCGGGACAGAGAATAAAATCCAGGCTGGCAGGTCTTGGTCGAATGGAACTTGTAGTGCCAAACGTTTCGCCTGCTATTGCTGCACACATCATCAGTGAAATATGTGTTTACTGCGAGGACAAAGGTCATCTCGAAGTCTCAGCAACAACTGACTGTGACTCTGAGATATAATGATAATAATATTCCTTCATTTTATTATTTGTATGCACAAAGGTTATATAAATGATTAAAAACCTCATTATTTCAGTTGCATCGAACAAGGACATGTCAACAATTACAACTTTACTCGTACATGTATATACCGTGTGACACAGACTAATGGTACACCCCCCTCTTTTCTTTATTCTTCCACCTATTTTAACGGAACTATTAATATTGATTATGCTTACAAAGAGGCACTTTTTGACGTAATGTGAGATTTTTTTCAACTTCCGGTTTTTCCGAAAATCATATCAACGTTTTATTTTCAAAAAGAACTCTCTTATATTATTAAATTTTTGAAATCTACACAATTTTCTGAATCCAATGATACCC